AAAGCAGCAGCAATCATTTTACCCATTAGGAGATGAATGGCCAACATTTGGGGTCCTTGTCTTGTAGTCTGGAACAAAAGAAAATTCCAGCATGGGTAAAAACAAGAGTTATCCAGATAGTTCTGGCCTTTGGGGTGGTGCGGAAGGTTGCTCTATGGAGAGGAGGGGGAAAAAAAAAAAGAGCACGTGCAGTCCCTTTGGCACTTCTGAGATTAAGAGTGTAAATAATAACCCACGAAAGAGATGGAGAGCAAAGAAAGGGTACTTAACGCAGCCTTCCCCATCCCTTGTTCTGATACCTGCAGCTTCACCTCTCCCTTCCCCAGTCTGGATGTTGTCTCCTCTCCGCCATACCTGACAACATACCAAGTAGCTTTTCCGTTCTCTTTCACGTTGCTCAGACACCAACAGGAGAAACAACAACCACAGCCTCCCTGCTCTCAGCCAGAGCCTGAACAGCCTCACCTGCCATGAGGAACACGGGGGGAAGCTGGCCGAGGCCAAAGCAGCACAGCCCGCTCGGCTGCTCGTTGGAAAGGGCACGCAAAGCTTCAGGGAACTGGAGCACCCTCACTGCACATGGAGTTTTCAGGAGAACAGTTTAGCTGAAGGTGCTCAACAACTTTTTCAGGCATGTGCAAACAGACTGTTTGCAGGCCTGTAAATCACTCACCTCCAGGCAGATTTTCTCAAGAATGGCATGAGGTATAACCTACATGGGCTGATTCCCCTGCCAAACTGAAGTTCCACCTCCAAAGCAAAAAAGGTATGAGAACATGTCAAAAAAACAGCTGTAAAAATGGTTTAACACGGACAAAACATTGTTGGGTTTTTTTCCTTAACTTGCTCAACAGCAGATTGAGATAGTCGGGCTGAATTTTGCGAGGAGAGTTTCAGCTGATGGCAAGAAATCCAGCCTGGGAAATAAGAGTCCAAAGGGTTAATGTCTGAGAAAGCTACAAGCAACTAACACAGCTTTATAGTAGGAAGGGAAAGGGAACAGCCATAGCTACAAACTCCCCACATAATTATAGCCTGATTCTTCCCCTGCCTCCCAGAAGCCATGCTTGCTCAGTCCCATCCTAATTTGGGGAAATAAGAATCAACTTCAAACAGCAATTACTCTATTAGGCACTACCTTTCACAACGCTGCCCTGAAAAGCATCTGCATAATATTAAGCATGTTCTTGTATCAGGTCTTCCACGTCCTGATCCTCCACTGAACAGCATAATCACAGCAGGTATCTACCTGCCACCACGATGGAGAACATTGCCACAGCTTTTATGTTAAAGATGACACACAGGATCAATTAAATAAGTTGTCTACAGCAAAAGTAAACAGTGCATTTGGAAAAAACCTGTGTAAGTAAACAGTTATGACACTGCTCCCCCCCAGACCTGCATTCTGATACTCTTGCACACGTTGATTATTTATCCACACGCTGACAGAGGATTTTTGCTCACACTTGCTCCCCCCAGTCTTAGCACACAACAGGGGGGGTAAAAAAAGTGATGCTCCTAGCAATGTGTCATACAGCACAACATGCTGCATCCTTTGGCAAAAATCCCCTCCTAAAGAGTTCGTAACACCAACGCTGCCCTAGGCAGATACAGATTCCCAGGGTAACGAGAGGCATCTCGAAGACCGTCTAGACAGGCTGTTGCAAGCACATCCCAGAACAGAGAAAGGGTGTGGCAGCCTAAGTCTGGTCACAGAAAACCTATTGTGACAGCCAGCACGCTCCTGTCAGATATCCACAAAAATAATCATTTCCTACCAGTTACCATTTGAACCAGACCAGCAATAGCTGCGCTGATCTTAAACCTTACCTGGAACTTTGAAATTAACCTGGTATTCACAGGTCACGTAAGACTAACACCTAATATTGCATTGCTCTGACAGGCAACAGCAGCAAGTGCTTAAGTAGCAAATGCGAAGAGATTGTTTTGCTTTTGTTCAGGTTGTAAGGATGGAAAACATATAAAAATGGTGAACATATGATCCCAGGCATCATACCACAACCAGCCTTCAGCGCTCCCTTGAGCCGAGCAAACAAGCAATACAAATAGTAAGTTTATTACACTTACGATGTAAACAGTGGTATGAGATTCATCCCCTTATGTCGTTGCACATATTCATAACAACTACTTAAACTACTGTGATTGCTGCTGCTCAAATATGTACAAAACTGCTAAAGTCGAGTGTCGCAACAAGACTAACTGGCTAGCTATCTACTAATGCTTGTCTGCGCCGAAACGGTCTTCACCTTTCGTGAAAGGACTCGCACAGGTGCACTGTACTTCGTGAGCTCTAAACAAGACGTATTTGTTGCGTGCTGCATGAAGTTCCCACGTAGCCGAAACATCGCATTGCTTGCAGCAGTGCTCCTACTCATCTTACACGCCTGTAACCAACGTGCAACAGCCTGGCAGAAGTTTCTCCCAATTTAAAAAAGAAAAGTTTCAAGGAAACATAAAAGAACACATCAGCCGATGACAAAGACAAGGGCTCATATGGCCCGTTTCCTATGCAGTGTGTAACGCTGTTGTGAGCGTGGGACAAGCCACGCTTAGTATCAGTTGCAACACAAGTGACAGATATAAGGCTTTGAAGTCTTTTTCAAGTTCAAAGCACCTTCCAAACAAAACTTAATTACCACTCATCACAGCCCTGTGAGGTAGATGCCGTTAGCTGTGTTTTGCACATGGGAAAGCAACCACGCACACGGCGTGGTTGACTGCTTTACCCTCGGCCACAGGAGCGATTCCTGACCAAACTATAGGATTACAGTGGGAGTATCTCGTTTCCAGCCCTATGCTATAGCTAATTCACTCCCCCCCCCCCCCCCCCCCCGCACTTTTGAAGCACACCTAATTCTGAAAAGTAAAGAAATGTGGCAACACGGTAAGCACGCGGAGCACGGTATCGTACCCCCGCCTCAACAGGAGCATCCAGCGTGCTTTGGAAGCAACACGGCCCGCGCAGGTGAGAGCCAGCGGCTGGGACACCCGCAGGGATGCTGTGCTCCCGGACGCTTCTGCCACCGGAACAGGCTGCAGATATTAAAGCCAAAACGCACAGGGAAACTAACCCAAGGTGTCACAGCCACCGCCGCTCGGCTTGCCGC